CAGCTGCTTCACCTCCATTTTCTCTCTGATCCAGAGTCAGATCGGATCAATGATCAAAGATCAAACAGATTGATCGGCCATCAGAGGAGTTGGATCAGTGGAGCCCTGCTTCTCTCTGCAGAGGAGACAGAGGACAGTCAGACAGAGACAAACACAGAGACTCTGACCTCAGTCTGCATACTGACCTTTGACCCTGAGATTAACTCTTTTCTCTCTCATGAGGACTCCCTTCTTGTTTAAGACACCGCAGTCGTATCGTCCTCCGTCTCTGACTGTGGGGGATTTCAGGGTCAGACTGAGGTCTCCAGTTCTCAGCAGGTCTTCCTTCATCTCTGTTCGGTCTCTGTAAACCTGGTCCTGTTGGTCAGGCTGGTCAGAGCCGTTCTGATACACGTGGACCGTCTTATAGGGATCATAGTGTCTCCACCACACTGTAGCGTCCTCAGGCAGGTTGTCTGTGGTCTTGCAGGGCAGCAGGACAGACTCCGCCCCCTCCTCCACCTCCACCTGACAGACTGAGAGGACAACAAAGCAGAACATGAGCTGCACAGACAGCAGCAGCAGTTTGAATAACTTTATTGACAGAAGCAGATGAGAGCAGCAGCTAACAGGGGACAGAAACACAGGAAGCTGTTGGAGATGATCAGAGTCTTGATGCTGCTGGGATTGTTTTGTCCATGTGCTGCTTCACAGTAATGTCTCCTGTCAGTGTTGAGCTGCTGGACTTTTACATTTCTGGATCTAAAGCTGAACTTTGAAGAGAAGAAGCTTTCAAATGTTTTCATCTCTGTTCTGTAAATGAATCTCAGCTCCACATGTTCAACATCAGTCCAGAACACCGAGACACACAAACATCTGATCTGGATCTGATCCCAAACTGCTCTTCCTGCTTCATCAATATTTGGCCTTTTCTTCTGCCGACTCTGAGCCCACTTTTCTTTCCAAACGGCTTCAACATGATGTGAAGAGAACTGAGCATCAATCTTTCATTGATCCAAACTATTAAAGCTGCATTTCTTTGTTCTGAGTGATCAACACATTTGGTTTCTTTCAGCTTTCTTCTTGATCAATACTGGAAATCAATAACTTATTGATCTCATTCTTTCCATCCATGGAAATGATCTCCTGGATTATTCTGGTTTCCTGTTATGACGTCATTTCTGATCACCTGCTGAGCATTTTTACACTGAAATATTGGTCCTTTTATTTTTTAAAGTTCCTTTGCTGGGCGCTGGATAAAAAAGCCAAAGCTGCAGGTTGCAAAGAGGTTGGAGAGTTTCTGACTGCATCAGTAATAATTTACAACACATTTGTCTGTCCTCCCCAACATCAGCTGCTCTCACTATCTCTGATATCTCTATATTTTTCAGATATTGTGCTACAGCTTTCTGTGTGTCCTTTACTCCGTCTCCTGTTGGGCCTAATAAACCTTCAAGGTTCACTTCCTTCCTGCCTGACTCATCTTTTGATTCATCCTCATCCTCTCATCCCTGTATTTCCTACGTCTGATTGACTTTTGCCCATTAAAACAATGTTTTATTTAAGCCTGTATGATCAAACCTCAGCCTGGTTAAAACGCTCTCCTCTCTTCTGTTCCCTGAGCATTAATAGATTTTTACAAGCTGTAATATTTCCTTCCACTTTTATCCACATCCCAGCCGTCCTGCCATTTCTTCATGGTTTCTTTTCTGATTATCGCCTCAGCTTCTCCTTTTCCAAGGGCTGTATTTATGACATCGTTCGTCCCGGTTGATTCTTTAGCTGTTTTGTCTGCTCTCTCATTCCCTTTTATACCTACGTGGGCAGGTACCCAGCAGAATCTCACATCTATCCGTAGTGTCTGGAATCTAAATAAACTCTGTTGGATTTCTAGCATTAGATCTTCTCTATCAGATTTCATATTTTGAATACTATAAAGGGCTGCTAGAGAATCAACACAACACACCCCTCTGTCTGGTTTTACTTCCTCAACCCACCGCAGTCCTACAATAATCACCATCATCTCTGCCGTGTACACTGAAGCCTGATCAGGTCATCTTTTCCCAACGCTTACATTCATTGTTGCTATATATATTCCTATTCCTCCCTCGTCCTCTTCATCTTTAGATCCGTCTGTATACATATCTAAGTAATTGTAATATTTGCTCCTTATTATGTAGCTACCAGATAAGAAACCTTTGATCCAGTTATACATTTTACCTCCAATACCCATTTTATCTCGCTGTATTAAAAGACCTCCTGCGCCTTCTCTATGCTCTCTGTTCTCTCAGCCATGTTTCTTGAATACAGATAACGTCAGGCTTTACATTTAACTGTTGCACATTTCTCTTAAATTCTTGTCCATTTGCAATCAGGCTTCTGGCGTTCCACTGAAGGAAAAAAAAGTTCATAACCCAATTATATGTTCTACCACCAATACACACCTTGGTAGATCAGTCTTTAGCTACTGTAGCTAGCCAGTCCTGTAGCTAGGTAGTGCAGAACGGCCTGAGTTAGCCTGTGGTAGCCGTTCCCTGGCATCCCCTGAGCAGCCAGGAAAGGGGGGGGGGGGGGGGGGCTGGGTGACTGTCCGAAGGAGGAATAGTAAGCATTCAAAGTCCACGGGGCATCATCAACCTGTTCACGTTTCTAACAGATTTTCCCCACTCAGCGACACACCCGCTGAGAAACCAACTCTGATCATTGGCAGCTCCATTTTGAGAAACGTGAAGTTAGCGAAGCCAGCGGCCATAGTTAAGTGCATCCCTGGGGCCAGAGCGGGCGACATTGAGTCTTATTTGAAACTGCTGGCTAAGGATAAACGCAAATACAGTAAGATTGTTATTCACGTCGGCGGTAAGGACTCCCGGTTACGCCAATCGGAGGTCACTTAGATTAATGTTGAGTCGGTGTGTACATATGCAAAAACAATGTCGGACACCGTAGTTTTCTCTGGACCCCTGCCAAATCTGACCAGTGATGACATGTATAGCCGCATGTCGTCATTCCGCCGCTGGTTGTCGAGGTGGTGTCCAGCAAACGATGTGGGCTTTGTTGATCATTGGCAGACTTTCTGGGGAAGACCTGGTCTGATTTGGAGAGACGGCATCCATCCCACTTGGGAAGGAGCAGCTCTCATTTCTAGAAATCTGGCCAAGTTTATTAGTGGACCAAATCCATGACAACCCAGAGTTGAGACCAGGAGGCAGAGTCGCAGTCTAACACACTTCTCTGCTCCTCCATTTCAGCAGTTACCCACCCAAAACCCTACGCAGAGTCGCAGTCTAACACACTTCTCTGCTCCTCCATTTCAGGAGTTACTTAATGAAAATCCTATAGTGACGGTGTCTGCCCCCCGACCATCGAAATTATTTAAATCAAAGGTAAACAGAAGAGGAGCTGTGCATAAAAACCTCATAAAAATTAAAACCACAAGAGCAATAGTGCAAACTAATAGGAAAATTAAATGTGGACTCACAATCAGATCTCTCTCTTCTAAAGTTGTACTAGTAAATGAACTAATATCAGATTATGATATTGATTTATTTTGTCTTACTGAAACCTGGCTGGGTGATGGAGAATATGTTAGCCTAAATGAATCCACCCCTCCCAGTCATATTAATACTCACATTCCTCGAGGCACAGGCCGAGGAGGTGGAGTTGCAGCTATCTTCGACTCTAGCCTACTAATCAGTTCTAAACCTAAACTAAATTATAACTCATTTGAAAGTCTTGTTCTTAGTCTTTCGCAACCAAGTTGGAAATCACTGCAACCAATTCTTTTCATTATAGTGTACCGAGCACCTGGTGCCTTAAAACGGAAAAAGTTATTATTGTAGGGGATTTTAATATTCATGTGGACGTTGAGAATGACAGCTTCAGTACTGCGTTTATCTCTTTGTTAGATTCCATTGGCTTCTCTCAGAGTGTTCATGAACCGACTCACTGTTTTAACCACACCCTCGACCTTGTTTTGGTGTATGGTATTGAAATTGAACATTTAGTGGTGTTCCCACAGAATCCCTCTTTATCTGACCACTGTTTGATAACTTTTGAGTTTGTATTGCTGAACTACACGCCATTGGGCAAAAATTTCTATACAAGATGTCTGTCTGATAGTGCTGTAATCGCGCTGCGAATAACACTCGACTCTGTAGCCCCTCTAAAAAAGAAAATACTAAAACAAAGACGGTTAGCTCCATGGTATAATACTGAAACTCATTCTGAATATTTGAAACTTGAGAGGAATTGGCGTTCCACCAAAGTGGAAAATTCTCATTTAATTTGGCAAGATAGTCTTAAAACTTATAGGAAGGCCCTCCGTAATGCCAGAGCAGCATACTACTCGTCATTAATAGAGGAAAATAGGAACAACCCAAAGTTTCTTTTCAGCACTGTAGCCAGGCTGACAGAGAGTCACAGCTCTATTGAGCCAAGTATTCCCATAGCTCTCAGTAGTTACGACTTCATGAGCTTCTTTAATGATAAAATTGTAGCTATTAGAGACAAAATTCACCAAGACCTGCCCTCAACTGGCACCAACTTATCTCTAAACTCAGGAATCTTAGAAACAGCTGTAGAACCAGATATATGTTTAGACTGTTTTGCTTCCCTCAATCTTTACCAACTAACAATAATTTCTTCATCTAAACCATCAACCTGCCTCTTAGACCCCATCCCGACTAGGTTGCTTTGATTTTTTACCCTTAGTCAGCACTTCTATGCTAGATATGATCAATCTATCTCTATCAACAGGCTATGTACCACAGTACTTTAAAGTAGCTGTAATTAAACCTCTTCTGAAAAAGCCCAACCTTGATCCAGATGTTTTAGCCAACTATAGACCTATATCTAACCTTCCATTTCTTCCATCTAAGGTTCTGGAGAAAGCAGTTGCTAAAAAGCTGTGTGACTTTCTACAGAGCAATAGTTTATTTGAGGATTTTCAGTCAGGATTTCATGAGTTCATCATTGCACAGAGACAGCACTGGTGAAAATTACTAACGACCTCCTTGCATCAGACAAAGGACTTGTCTCTGTACTGGTTTTATTAGATCTTAGTGCTGCATTTGATACCATTGACCATCAGATCCTATTGCAGAGACTGGAACATTTCATTGGCATTAAAGGAACCGCTCTAAGCTGGTTTAAGTCCTATTTATCAGATCGATTTCAGTTTGTACATGTTAACGATGAGTCCTCCATGCGCACCAAAGTTAGTCATGGAGTTGCACAAGGATCTGTCCTCGGACCAATCCTCTTCACTTTATATATGCTTCCTTTAGGCAATATTATCAGGAAATATTCCATAAACTTTCATTGTTATGCAGATGATACTCAGTTATATCTATCGATCAAGCCAGATGAAACTCACCAGTTAGCTAAACTTCAAATATGCCTTCAGGATGTTAAAACCTGGATCACCTGTAACTTTCTAATGTTAAACTCAGATAAAACTGAAGTTATTGTTCTGGGACCTAAGCACCTCCATGACGCATTATCTAAAGATATAGTTTCCCTTGATGGCATCGCCCTGGCCTCCAGCACCACTGTGAGGAATCTTGGAGTTATCTTTGATCAGGACATGTCGTTTAAGTCTCACATTAAGCTAATTTCAAGGACCGCCTTTTTCCACCTACGTAATATTGCGAAAATCAGGAACATCCTGTCTAAAAATGATGAAAATCTAGTCCATGCATTTGTTACTTCTAGGCTGGATTACTGCAATTCCTTATTATCAGGCTGCTCGAAAAAGTCCATTAAGACTCTTCAGCTGATCCAGAATGCTGCAGCATGTGTTCTGACAGGAACCAGGAAAAGAGATCACATTTCTCCTGTTTTAGCTTCTCTGCATTGGCTTCCAGTAAAATCCAGAATAGAATTTAAAATCATTCTTCTTACCTACAAAGCTCTTAATGGTCAGGCACCATCTTATCTTAAAGAGCTCATAGTACCTTACTACCCCACCAGAGCACTGCGCTCCCAGAATGCAGGGTTACTTGTGGTTCCTAGAGTCTCCAAAAGTAGACTAGGAGCCAGAGCGTTCAGCTATCAAGCTCCTCTCCTGTGGAACCAGGTTCCAGTTTGGGTTCAGGAGGCAGCCACCATCTCCACATTTAAGAGTAGGCTTAAGACTTTCCTCTTTGATAAAGCTTATAGTTAGGGCTGGCTCAGGTGAGTCCTGAACCATCCCTTAGTTATGCTACTATAGGCCTAGACTGCCGGGGGATTTCCCATGATGCACTGAGCTCCTCTCTCCTCTACTTTCTCTCCCTCTGTATGCAACCTCATCCCATTATTGCATGTTACTAACACAACTTCTCCCCTTTCCGGTAGTCTTGTGCTTTCTCGTCCCTCTCCTCTCTCCTCCTATCACTTCCTGCAGGTGTTTCTGGCTCTGGAGCTGTGGAGTCTGGATCTGTGGTTGCGGGTCACCTGCTGCCCCGTGTTCCTGCTCGACACCCTCTGCTACAACAATTATTGTTAATAGTCCTATTATTATTATTATTATTATTATTATTATAATCATTAACATTACGATTGTTATCATTAACACTACTATAGATATCTGTACCATTTTTCATTTAGTCTATAGCAACATCACCTTCACTGTCTGTACCTCTGTGTGTATATTGTGTAGGCTGCCTCCCTCCCCTCTCTCTCCTTCCATCCCTCTCTTTTTCTCTCTGTTCCTCTCCTGCTCTCTCTCTCTCTCTCTCTCTCTCACCCCAACCGGTCGAGGCAGATGGCCGCCCACCCTGAGCCATGGTTCTGCTTGAGGTTTCTGCCTCTTAAAAGGAAGTTTTAAAAGGAAGTCCCACCAAGAGCAAGTAGTGCTTGCTCTTGGTGGGAACTGTTGGGCTTCTGTAAATAGCATCACAGAGTACGGTCTAGACCTGCTCTTTCATGAAAAGCGCTGTGAGATAACTGTTGTTGTGATTTGGCGCTATATAAATAAAATTGAATTGAATTGAAATTGATGTTATCACCTAGCTTGTTTACCAGCTTGTTGGACTGTAAGTCACCTTCTACAGCTAGAGATGTGCAGATTGATCAGCTGGGGACTGAAACAGGCCATTTTGTTTTCGCTTCCCTGACCAGTAACTGGGGCCGAGCAGCTGCACTGTGTCGTGTTTCATGTGTTTGCACAGACAGTAACCTCATGTCACAGCCACACACAAAGTTCTTCACTAGAGTGAAGGAGACGCAACGCTCACTATTTAGGCTACAGCACTGACCTTTGACCTGCAGCAGGACTTGTTTCTTCATCAGGATGTCTCTCTCCCTGCTGTAGACGGTGCAGGTGTAGGTTTCTCTGTCTCTGTCTGTGGGGTATTTCAGGGTCAGACTGAGGTCTCCAGTTCTCAGCGCATTTCTCTTCATCTCTGTTCGGTCTCTGTAAAAACTGTGCTGTTCTTCAGGCTGGTCAGAGCCGTTCTTATATACGTGGAGCACATCGTTGTCTCCGTCCCTCCACTCCACTGTGCCGTCTTCAGGCAGGTGAACTGTGGTTTTGCAGGGCAGCAGGACAGACTCCACCTCTGAATCCACCTCCACCTTGTAGACTGAGAGGACAACAAAGCACAACATCAGCTGTACAGACAGCAGCAGGAACTCTGAAATATGTCCCATTGTTCCATCTAACAGAGACAGTCTTGTCTTTGGTGTCTCTACAATCAACAGCACAACTGACTGTTTATTAAATCACTGAGTATTATTGTCAGAGGGACTCAATCAAATCTTTATTAAAGTTAGAATCTGAAGGTTTTCATTAAATAAATGTCTGTTCAGTCACTGTCTATCGTCTAATGAGGTAACACAGTGGTGACTGAGCCTGTGGCCCACTGATCAAAGTACTGCAGTATTTACATATCTGCAGTATTACCAAGGGAAAAACTGCAGTATTAAGTGGCTGCTAATGAAACATTTCCTGCTGCTGCAGCTTCACATTAAAAGCATCTAACTGGTGAAACACCAGTTGACTGTTATTATGAAGGAGTCTGATTTAATCTTTTTTTTTTTCTATTCACATTATCTAACTCCACAGTACTTAAACTTGATTCATTGGAGTTAATCATTTTCAGGTGATTGTTTAACACACTATATGAAGGTGTGCATATTTTTTATGCAGCTTCTTTTCCTCAGGTCAAATGGGCCAAAAATGTTGTTTTAATTTAACATGCTCTATCATCTTCCCAGCTAACGTTACTGTTCCCAGCGACTTGTGGATCGACGGCACATTTTTATGGCTCCATCAACAGATAATCTTCCATTTGCAGCCCTGATCATCTAAGAAACTGATCAAAGTCTCTATATTTGAAGACGTCCCACACTGTCAGTAGTTTCATCAAGATCACTGTAAATGAATGTGTCAGCTTTCCTTTATGTTCTGGTCCAGTGGCCAGTGCTCATTATTATGAGGAGTACACTATGATTATTCCTCTTCACTGTAACTCAAATACAATCGTTTTTTCCTAGACAAACTACTTCCGGTGACAGTACTGGCAGATTGAGGTTCTGACATAAAGAACAGTGTGAGACTGATGCTAAAGAGAAGACATCAGCATTCCCAAAGGGTCGTCACCAGTTGGATGTAAAGGAGGAAACAAGATGAATTGATGTGGAGAGAATTATCGGTCCACAACAAATACTGTCTTCAAAAAGTCCTATAAATCTGGTTCTCCATGTGAGGATGTGATGTTCTTAGACAAAGATCTCACAGTCTGCTGTGGTCGGACAAATATATGTCCAGGTGTTGTGCTGTGAAGCTAAACTAGTCTCTAAAGTTGAACAAAGCAAGAGGTCATGTATTGTGTCTCCATGAGAATCTGACTTGCAGGATAATCATTGCTGTTGCTTCCGGTTCTGTTCAGTTTATCTCTTTAACTTCCCCAACTTTTTATACAACAGCATACCAAAGACTTTAAATGACTTTCATCTGTTTCTTCACAGGGTGCCTCCACAAAGATTCTTCTCTGAGATCACATAACCTGCACCATAACATAAGCTGGTAACATGCTTCAGCTTCAGTAGCTCAGTATTAACCAGCAGCTTCACCAGCCAGAAAAAACACTGAGTGATTAAACACTTTACGTGACGGTTTATATTCTCTCCAGCTGAGCTGTCCAACAGATTCTCCTTAGCTGAGGCCAACACACTGTTCATCACTTAATGCTAATGTTGTTATCTCTATTCACCTGATAGATGCCAACACAGTGAAAATTGATTTTAAAAAAAAGCATTTACCAACCATTCACCACATGCTCAATTAAAACAGCGATCTGAGTGACTTAACTTAATCTCAACAGGGAGTTTGTTCCATTCCAATGCTGACGTGTACAAAAAGGTGTTTTATAGCTCTTAAATCTACAAGGTACCACGTCCATGGCACTGCCGCTAGTTGAGTAGCTATGAGAGTTCCTGATCTTAAAATAGTCTTTAAAATACCATGGCTCGTTCCTATGCAAAATCTTTGTGTTAATCTCAGTTTCAACTGCCTCACTGTGTTTTCAACTGTCAGCCATTTTACATTCTTAAATTCAGAAGAGCCGACATGGGTCCTATTATTGAGGTCAACCTGACCAATTTATTCTGTGCCGTTTGAAGTTGAACTTTTAACCTCTTGGAGGTGCTGCTGTACCATGTAGTACAGGCATACTCAAAGTGTGGCTGAATTAAAACATTTGCTAACATTCAAAGTTTCTTTATTTTGAAAATGAGCCCTAAGAAAAAGAATAAGAAGATATACTTTATTAATCCCACAAGGGGAAACTCAATGTTTTTCACTGTTGTTAATTGTTAGTATTTTTTTAACACACAGGTCTGAAACACACACACATGCACAAACAGGACCTATAGGCACAACACATGGAGAGATGTCAGAGTGAGGGGGCTGCTGCTTGGTACGGCGCCCCGAGCAGTTGGGGGTTCAGGGGCTTGCTCAAGGCCACCTTTGGCAGTGCCCAGGAGGTGAACTGGCACCTCTCCAGCTACCAGTCCACACTCCGAATCTGTGGTCCGAGCTGGACTCGAACCAGCGACCCTCTAGTTTCCAGCCAAGTCCTTACAGACTGACCCTTAAGTGCCAGAAATTTAATTCTTTAGTTCACTTTTGTGATAACCCTTTGACCCATACTTTCTCCACTCAAGGAAATATCTAAATCACAGCCTACATATTTAACACAAGTCTTTAGCTTCAATCTGGGTATCACCTACCGAAGTACTGAGCTCTGGTGTCCTACTCAACCTTATTTTTGAACAAAATAAAAAAGATTAATTTTTCCCCAGATGCAAGACAATTGGTTCTCCACAAGCCATCCTTTAATGTTCTTCAACTTAAATGGTTCTCAATAACTTTCTTATCCTTATGGGAGAACACCAAGGCTGAATCGTCCACGTAGAGAAAAAGATTACAATTGCGGATTTCTTTTCTTACATAAACAAGAGAAAGAGCAATGGACCCAGGACACTACCCTGCGGCACACCACATCTGCTGTTGATTTCAACTCTTTTATGCTTCTCAGTCAAGTATGATCCAATCCATTCACATGCCTACAAACCCAGGGCTTTTAGTTTAATTGGCAGAATGTCATGGTCCACGGTGTCAAATGCTTTCTGGAATCTAAAATATTCTGCCACAGAGTTTACCCAATTCGATCTCTTTCCTTATATAGTGTACACAACACGTATCTGTTGAATAAGACACTCTGAAACCAGATTGCAATTTATAAAACAAATCAGAATTACTAATATAGTCATTATTTGCTCTTGTATTATTTTCTCCAAGACTTTTGATACAACTCCCAAAATCAAAACTGGTCGATAATTGCCCTCTTCTTATTTATATTTCATCTAGACCAGTTGCTTTCAAACACTCAAGTTCATTCAATAACTTTAAGACCTGTCCTGTGTAATCATAGAAAGGCCAAAAGAGTCAGCTACCACTCCAAGCTGAGAATAAACATGACATTACCGTCATATAAACCAGGTTTTCTAGGCAGTTTATCAACTAAATTTCCAGCTACGGATGTAAAAAAAAAAAAAGGTGTTAAATTTATCCGCAACCCTTAATTAATCGGAGGAGAGTTCCTCATCGATGTTTTTTTTCTTTGTCTTGAGTCTTTTACTGTAACCAATTTGTTTCAATGACTGCAAAAGTTTCTTTGGGTTACCTTTATATTCAGTAATTGTCTCACAAAAAAATACCTTTTACACATTTTAATCATCTTTTGCTCCATATGTCTTAGATTCTTATAATTATCCAAATCATCCTGCTCTTTAGTCGTCCTAAAACCTCTAATAGTTTTTATAGGAGCAACTTTATCTACTGCCTTTAAGAACAAATTTATAAACTGCTCCCATGTTTCATCAACATCCAAACATAACACTGAAGTCAATCCATTGGATTTAAACACTCAATAAAGACCTCACAACTATTATATTTTAATGACCTGATCTTAATTGTATTTTGTTTCTTAAATGCAACTTTATGCTTTTTCCTTGTACAATTTACAACTTCACTCTGAGAAATCATAGAGTGATCAGATACCAAGATGAGATTAATGACAGTTTGACTAATATTAGACACTCGTCTGGACGCTTGTATTAACTACAATCCCTGCAGGGGACAGAAGATTCTTCCATCAACTGATAAAAATGACTTTGATCAGGATGTCTATACAGAGCCCCAATTAATAAAGGCTTGCTTTTAGTTAACTGTACATCAAACCCCACAGCTTCAACAAGATCGTGATTTAAATGCATTCTGCGACTAAAACAAATATCAGCCCTAATATAAACACAACCCCATTAGGGTTACGATCTTTTCGTAAGTCAGGATCATTTTTAATTTCAATTTCTGTATTGCTGATTGAGGCGTCCAGTCTGAAAAGCACACAATCCCAACTTTACTATTGCACATCATCAATCTTATCTCATCTGATTTAGAAAGAACACTGCGAACATTGAGGTGCATAATGTGCTGACCTTTAGTGAAACTGAAGTCCAGGATCTGAGGCACTGCCTGTAGATCTCCCCTGACCCCTCGATCATATATATTGTATTGAGGATATCTTTAAAACACTATTTAAGGATCTTTCTTCTTGTTTCCTCAGTTTCCCTCATCACAGGTTAACTAACTCAGAGTTTTCTGGAAGAGGCCTACAGAGCTCCACATAATCCAGTCTCCATGCTGGACTTGTTCATGACTTGTTGTGTTGTTTTAATTCGGTGTGTGAAAGTGTTTTGCAGCATGTTCACTGCAGCAGCTGGAGCAGAAATGTGGTGTTGTGTACAAACAGTGTGGACTTGTGCATTTTATATCAAACAATTTGGAGACTCAAAATTCCTTCCGTCTCTCTCTGAGAGAAAGAGGGGGGTGAGATATCAACTCTCAACAGACGGCTGAAGAGACCCCAAAGGAAGAGGTGAAAGGTTTGCTTGCCCTAAGTGCTGTTTCTGCGTAGTTTGATCGTAAAACTGGCCACTTTTGGCAGCAGCCGTGATAAGGCTCGGTGCCTGACTGTTAAAATGACAAAGACACACTAACCAGAGATTACGAACAGCCTATCAAAGCTCTTTGGGAAAGAGGACGGGGAACCCTAAACTGCCTCCCCACACATGTAACCATGGCAACTGACCTCCCTCTTTGTTTAATTACCTCACATCAAAGGATATTCCCCTCTTCACAGCCAGATGTGAATTCGTGAGAAAATCCAGGACACCAGACAAAGCCCTGAACTCTTTGTGTAAACACAAAGAGTTCTGTCTCCTCAGAACTCAAAGCATTACCTTATTTAATTAAATAATATTTAAGTTACTTAACTAGGTCTCTCCACTCCATTTTAGAAGTTGTTACCATGTTGTTGATATTGTTGTTGAAAAGAATCTAAATAAGTTAATTTTGCAGTGTTTTAATTTTCAGCAAGGTCACCTGACTTTGCCTCATTTTATGTTGTAACCAATGCTTTGTTCCTAACACTTTATGACACTTCCTTTAGGATATGATAAAGAAATGTCATCCTATACTACTCGAGTAATTTTTCCTCTCTCTCGCTCTGTTGTTCCTCGCTCCCTTGTTCTCTTCAACTGCCCGTCTCCCGGCAACGCCCTGAGAAGTTCGACCCGGCGCAGCGAAGGCCTTTTGTTCATTTTCAAGCCACACACGTGAAGCGCCACGACCTCAGCTTTCCCTCGTTCCCAGCATCTTACTAGCTTTTTTTTGTTTGTTTGTTAAAAGTTATCAGACCGTTAACTTACAGAATTTTAATTCAAGAATGACAAAGTTCTTTTTTTAGCTTTATTTGTCGAGCTAACTTGCACTGCTCCCACCGACGTCTGGACCCAGTCACGTGGCCCCGCCAGCAGTAACAAAAGACATCCGACAGAAAGGCCTAATTGCCAGACTGAGGACGGTCAACACTGGAGTGTTTTTCTTCATTCAGACACGGAGAACCCCCGGAAAATTCCCTAGCAGACAGCCAGAAATCAGGCAGCTAGCGTGGGGACCCGTGCAACCGGCCAAGGCATGGCAAACAAGGCATTCTGTGATCAGTGATGTCCAATAGTCGGTTCGTCCAGTATATTTAATCCATGAAACTCCTACACAAATTTAACCGAGTTATCACCTAATTGCTTTCATTAGCTGCCCGTATAAGTCAAATTCTCCCCACAATAGAACTCAACATTCTTTGTTTGCCCCATGTTGTTTAGCCATTGTTTATTCCTTTGATGTATATTTACCACATTTTTATATCACCTTAGTTAGTTAATAAATTTCACCGTAATCAAAGGAATTGTGTGTGTGTATTGCCTGTCTCCAAGTCCCTGCCAGGAGAATTTACCCCTTCAACATAAGACTGACTGATTGATTTAAGATAATTTAGCGATTATTAACTGATCACTAGTGAATAATTGTATAATTATTAACCCTATCTAGGGAATCTGGCTGGCTGGCTGAACGGAATCTCGAGTGGTGCCCCGCGAAACGAGAGATTTCTGAATTAATATTCTCTGAACATCAAAATTCATAATTTTGTATCAATTCTCATATGTTTATTAAAAACATAAGTAGACACGCTACAGTGAGCATTTGTAATTGTAGAATAGGATTTTTACATCTGCAGAGAAGAACTTGAGAATAGTAGCTGTTGTGTTTGTGGCAGAGAAAAACTTCTAGTACTCGTGAAACATTTCTCTTTGTGACTTGAAAATCACTGAAACACGTGGGACTATTTTCTACATCTACAGGTTCCACTGTCACAGGTGTTCAGCTGTTCTGCTTCAATAACACCTTCATATGCTGGAGGTGTAGCAGTAGTGACATACCTGACATGAAATACTGCCGGAAATGTACCAGAAGACCCCCAGCAGCAACAAGACCAGCAACCAGGAGAACCAGGAGAACCAGGAGAACTTTGACCCAGGATGGAAATCGTTCTGTGGGAACCAGAAACATAAAGAACGTGACCTCTGACATCTGACCTCTGACCTGTATCTACAGCAGCTGTTAGGGTTTGTTGCTGACCTTTGACCTGCAGCTGTATCTCTGTCACTCTCTGTTCTCCCCTAGAGTCTCTGACGGTGCAGGTGTAGGTGCCGCTGTCGGAGAGCTGGAGTTTTGTCAGGTTGAGGCTGAGGTCTCCAGTTTCCAGAGCGTCAGTCATCATGGATGTTCGGCCGCTGTAAAGCTGGTTTTGGTCTTTAAGTTCATCACCTTCCTGCTGACGCTGGTGGACGGTTGGAGGATCGAGATCATAGCGGCTCCACACCACTGTGGGGTCGTCTATGTCAAATGTTTGAAACTCACAGGGCAGCAGGACAGACTCCTCCCCCTCATACAGCTCCACAGCTGAGGGATGCTGGGAAACTGTGAGGTCACACAGACAGAGAGGTTCAATCACAGCAGCCTTATTTCATCATTTACCCTATAGAGCTAAATCGATTTTGATACATTTGTGTTTATATATATATATATATATACACGTGTGTCTCACAGTGAATGCCTGAGACTTGTTTGCCAGTAAAGTTCCTGTCTGTTGTTGTGGTGTTCGCTGTGCAATGAGTTTAAAGTTTGTCAGAGACCAAAACATTATAATTCACCGATATACTGAACATTAACTTCCTGCAATACAAGTATCCGTGACAATGCTGCAGCTCTGTTACAGTTTCAGTGTAAAATAAATATAGTAATACTGTCAACAGCCCTTCTGCATTCATATAGACTCACAATGCATTTTAAACAACTCAGAGTCTCACTTACTTATATATGAGCTTTAGTACGTCACAACACCAGTTACAGTCAAAGTCAAATGTTCAACGTAATTCATTTTCCCTCTATACTTTTATTATATTCTCAGCTGATTTATTCCCTCAGTAAACACTTTCCTGATGAGTTTATGGTCTCAGTCGCTAGATTCAAGTCTTCTTCAACACAGCATGATGTTCATTTAGTAAATTATGGTCCCATTTAGTACTTTTTGTAGCCGTTACTATAAGAGGTACCAGTTTGTTAGCTTGGCTAGACATGTGGAATGTGATGTTTTAAATTGGTAAACTGAGCAAAAGACATGTATGTTTATTGCTCAGTATAATTTACATGTTTCGCATAATATGACGTGCCTATATGTGAAGTAAGCTGGTCAAAATAGATTTTTTATTATTGGACTTAGCTTAAGTTATGTGAGAAATACATTTTAGGTAGCAGATAGAACTCATTATCTTTAACTCTGAGAAATAAGTCCTGGTCACAGTGATTTTGGCTAAACACCTGCACTGGGTTGAACCAACTATGTGTAAGTTCAAACTTAGCCTAGCTTAAATGTAATTTCTAACTTAAGTAGGAGTTTACGTGCTACTAACGTTTTAAGGGTTGCACCAGCTGAAATACGTCCAACGTAGACATAAGTTACAACGTTAATCTTACACCTAGTCCTTCAAAGGTGTACAGTCCTCCATAAAATAGTCAAGTGGTTGTCATGGCGCATCGTTTTGAAAGGTGGGATCAGGAGGAGCAAATTATGCAGACTCTTCTGTATAACCCAGCGCACACAGCCTGGATGATCTCATTTCGGTTAATGAAGCAAAATGCAGATCACAGACTGGTTAAGTTATGAAGGTATGAATTGAAAATGTAACGAAATTAAGAGTAGATTACTAGCCCAAAGAAAATATTGGATTAAAGATTAAAGATATTAATAATAAAGGATCGTGAAAAGGCAATGACTTATTTTTATTTATTTATTTTGCAAATTTGCGTGTCTTGTAACAAGTTACTGCCCACCCTGCTGCAGGCACCCTCACTGCTGTCTTCAGGTAGGCTGTAATAAGAGCAGCACAGAAGAAAACCCAGCAAGCAATTTCACGCTTAAAAACAGAGCCCAGACGTCTAGGCTAAAACAGGGCTGAATTTGGGCTGTCAGTGAAAGTTTGGTAGACGTCTAACCATAGCCCAAGAATAGTCTAGTCATCAATTAGACCACCATTGAACGGCGACACATAGACGTGTATTAGATGTTGAAAATGGGTCTGGGCTAAAACAAGGTTGAATTTGGGCTGTCAGTGAAGAGTTAGTAGACGTTTAACCACAGCCCAAGTATAGACCAAATATACAGCTTTTAAATGACTACATATCTACCTCTAATAGACAACAGAATAGTGGCTTACGGATTGTTTTTACTCAAACAAAACAGGTTCTCACAAATGGTAATCCGTCCAAACAAATTAAATATAAAGATTTTATTAAGAAAAAGAATTACAACGTAGACAACTTAAGATAATACAACGTGATGAAAATATAAAGGAATTATTGCTAAAATATTATAAATACAAAACCTCTCATATATATGAAAATACAAACAATTTTAACAACATGCGGCAATAAAAACATAAATAATGATAAAATAAATTGTTTGGCTACATCCAAATCTAGATCTTCATCTACGCTGCTACTTGATACAGGAAGAGCATCAGATGGGTCTCTCGGTTGGCGCCAGTCTCTCGGGTAAATGGGATCCATAACTGTTGAATATGTAAGAATATGAATATAAGTAACCATTATAATTTGACTATGTTGACTGTTTTCCCATAAGACATGACTACTATCATCAAATGATTTTAAATGAAAACATGAAGGTTAAAAAAAAATCATTTATAACGTTTTTTTCTTTTTAATTTAAAAGTATTTATTACTGACCCATTTATATCTATGGAAAATATAAAGATACTTGAACAGGACACATTTTTAGCCATGTTGCATTAGAACAACAAAATAGAAAAGTTGCTTTTCTTTTGAGAGAGCAATGTGCGGTGAATGTAATGTGTACTGAATATTTATTGTGCTTTGCTGACTGTATGCTGGAGAATTTGCAATAAATATTTAGTGTCAAAAGTCAAAAACTCATATTTTCATATCAAAATGATCTAGTGAGTAAAATATGCGTGGCTTTCATTACAAATTATAATAGGTAAGGTTGCACATGTTTCATGTTCACCCCTTCTGAATTCAGATAATGTAAGAGTTTGTAAGGGCACGAGGAAACCCGTGGGTATCATGGAGTAACGTTAAGTTACACTTGCATGCAGCATGTTAAGCTAACCACAACATGCCTTACTCTACACTGTTGTCCCGGTTCCTACACGTTAACATATAATGTAGATAAAAAATGAAGACATGTCAAAAAAGACACAGATACTTACAAGACCAAAGTAAATGTCTTTTTGCTTCCAGTGTTTGCAGTAAACTCTTGCCCGTTGCTCGCTGAAAGGCCGAGGTCGTAACGTCTCCCTCGTTTAAAAATGGCAGATGTCTTTATTGCGAGATGTGGCAACTCTGATGTCTACCAGGGCCGTCCCTGATGTCTAAATTTCAAGTCTCGCGTTGCCAGTAGTCATGTGTAGTAGGGCTACAGCTGCCATCTAGCGGTTGAAAATAGTAATTGCATCTTGTTTTAAATTAAAATGAAAGTCAATGTAGTGAACGTTACAGCGAAAATAAAGATAATTTAAATGTTTACTTGCATTTGATTATATGATATCACGCATCTCAACAGCTGCATGGGTGAAAACTACATGTAACCTATTTGGTCTGAAACAGGGCTACAACCAAGCCGTTGCTATAAGACCACTGATTGCCTCTATTTCGCCGGGTGGGCTAAAAGCAGACTACACGTAGCCTGTCCAAATAAGAGCTAAATCGTGGCTAAAGATAGACCATGTCAATTTAATGACACTTAATATCTTGTAGATATTATTGACATTGCAAAAATAATGGGATATCAACCATCTCACGTGCTGCCAGGGCAAAACCCCACTTTTAATCATTTTTGACTTTTTTGACTAAAAGTGGTCTACAAATAGCCGGTCTGTCTACGAGCTAAATCGTGTCTACGCACAGGCTGCACGTAAATCATGTGTAAGAAATGAAACAAAAAACCTTGTAATCACTGTAGACCGTGTTTAAATGATGGAATATCATTCACATTGCAAGTTATTTTGGCAAAAATGTCATGTAACCACATTTAAAGTTAGTAGTGGGTTACTCATAGCTGGACTAAATCAGGTCTATAGTAAACCTAGACGGTGAAATGACGACTATTGCTTGCTGGGAAGTCTGTAATATTGAGGCACTGAACCTGCCCCCAGCAAACTCGTATTTTTTCTCCCTTAACTTAAATATGAGGGGGATAATGGCTCCTACACGTATAGAAGTTATAATGTTACAATTTCATCTGCCCGTTATACTTTGAGGTTCGTTACGGGCACCGTTACATTACGTCTATGTTGTAGTTAACGGTTTTACCACTCGATGTCACTGTGAGACTAGCTGTAGATTAAGGTTTCATAGTTGTCACCTAATCATAATTCTTTGTCCTTGTCTACGCACCTTTTTGTTGGTGTTTTGTTTTGTTTTTAGCCGTTAGCCTCTTCAGTATTGCAAACGTTTAAAGAGAGAGAGACCAGCAGATGACAAAACCTAATAAACTCTGTTAAGAATAGTGCTGTTCACTGATTGGCCATGGGATGTGTCAACGTCATTTTCTGCGACACTGTTTTGATGAGTATGGACTTTATGCCAGATTAGCTAAGATGCACCTTGTATCTCTGTGGTGCAATCAAACAAACATCAACACAGCTTCAGTCTCAAACTAACTAGTTTCAACGTATTGTTTAGTGTGGACTTTGCACCCTAACTTAAGGTAGAACTTACGTATCGCTGGTGCAAGAGGCTGCTGGTCTACAATAAATGTCAAGCGTGTAGATGACATTTCAACACAGACGATGGGGGTAGGGGGACATCTTTGTGCTATATTCATTTTCTTTTGTCAGCCCAGGAGAGCCATTGAGTGTATGCTACTACTCCTGATGTTTCTCAGTGTACCGTTTGCTGTTGTCTTTGTACTTGAGTGTATTTAAGGAGAGGGAGACCTCCAAAGGGAGCCTCAACCATCCAACCAGAGAACTGTCATCTTTCTCTCCGTGGCCACGTATATAAAGAATTCATTGATTACATCTTTGACTCCGTACTTCTTAATGGAAGAATTTTCCCAGTTATCCAAACGAGCTAATTCTAGGTAGATAATGAGCAGGCTGTATGACCTGATTGCTGACCGCTGTAGCTTCACTGCTCCTAAACCTAGCTAGGTTAGATCAGATTTGTGTGTAAACTGTGTTTCAGAACAGAGTGTCAGGGCTGCAGGAAGGTTAGGCAATGCACAATGGTGCTGGGAACTCAGTAACCTCCAATTTATCGCAAGACTCTGACCTCTGTACTTGCCAAACAGCCACCTAACCATATTTAATTGATGTTTAGAGTCGCCACTATCCCGTAGATGTACAGGGTCGGCAAAGGTGTTCACCACCAAGACCCAAATTAACTGGGCAGATGACAGGAAAACTGCTGACTCAGTGAGAAAAAAAGAGGTCATGCTTTGAAAACAAAGCTTTAACAGGTGGTGCAAAGACGTTGAAAAGTTAGTGGCATAGATGGTCAAAACCTCTTGGTGTCAATTTGTAATGCACTGAGGAAGCCCTGTTGCATCATTGCTGAACGGTGAAGGTGGGAACAGGGTATTTAACAGAAAAGTCCAAGTAAGAAGGTGGTTGCGGTGGATGGGTAGGCCAGAAACCGAGCAACAAGCAGAGCATTTTAACTACCATGCATTCCAGCATGCATCATGTTAAGTCGGCTCTGCGCAGCGCCGCATGAAGTGAAACGTACCTAATGAAAGATGTTTTCAGCTTGCTACTCTGCCAACAAGTGGCAAAAATATGAAAGTGGCAAAAATATGAAATCAATCAATTACATCAATTACATGAGGGCACAGGCCCCACATGCCTCATGTAATTGATTGATTTATTTTAGATTGAAGTGTATGAAACCTATTAGTATGTATCTCACTGGCTTCCCTTGTTTAGCCCATTAATACTGGTCATGTCAGAAAGGGATTTGACCGGAGTATAAGCACACACACCTATTTTATAACAATTTGCCATTGCTGCACAGTCACAGCTGACATGCATTGCTCTCACTACTACCTCTCCTTTAAAACGGTCTGTCTCTGTAATAAGCATGAATGGAACCTCTTCTATAAAAATACTCATAAAGTCTGTTAAGACTGCTGCTGGCTGGACATCTCTGGCTGTGCTCGTACTGGCTGAGGCTGCCTGTATTTCACCTGGGTCTGTGTGACCTGCTAAAGACGTCTGGACTGGGTCTGTGCTGGTACTGGATTTGGATCAACTGCGCTCGTACTGGCTTATGATCCAGCATCTACTCTACTGACAAATATAAGCATAGCCCCTTTAAATAATAGATACTTGCTAGATACTAATGTTATCAGCTGCATCAGGCCCATACAAACTGGCTCCCAGGTTTCCTTTAACATTTTCAAATGCTGTTTATACAGGGGCTGGGCCATATGGACAAAAATGTTATCACGAGGGGTTAGCAGCACAGAGGCTGACTCACTGCAGCTAGGCTCACATCGGACTTTCAAGGAGAGAAAACGAGTTTACCTGACTGCTGTTCTCGAAAGTCACTGTGAGTGAGTTATTTTCTTTCTTGTGCCCAGAAGGAAAGCCCCTCTGTGTTTATCAACACCGCTTTCAACATTGACTTGTTTTTGTGATATTTCATATCATTAACTACGTGCCTTTTCACATTAACCAGTAGTTTTATTTTGAAAATGTAACCGAACGTTGTATGTAGACCTATACTATTGCTAACTTCACCGGACGCTGCAGATGCAGCCAATTGTTGCTAACTTGACCGGGAGCCCTTAACGTCCAGACACGACGCCAAGGGGTCTTGACAATCTTACTGGGGCACAGCTCATGGATACAGGGACACGTGCCCCAGTAAAAAGGGTCTGGCGACGCCTATGGCTGTCTGTATCAAGATCTATCAGCATACAACAAACTAATAGAATGGAGAGTTATTAGATGAGGAGCCGACCATCAAAACTATGAAGTTACTCTTTAAGGCACTTTTTCATAGTGGTCACTTTTCAGACTTTGGTCTATTTTGCTTCATGTCTTCTTTTACTCTAATGGAAATAAAACTTTAAGAATAAACATTTAGATGGTGTTGGTTTTAAGCCTACTAACCTCTGCTTATTTGCATCTATAGATTTCTTCTAACTAAATTACAAAGCACATTTCAGAGGGAAATATTCTTGATGTAAGTCATTAACTGGGGAAGTTCTGTGGTGATATGCTTATTTTCTTTATCCCATTCACCTGCAGTGACTTGTCAAATTTGTCACTCACTTCATTTACAAAAAAAAAAGCATCCCAGAAAAAGGAGTAGCATAGCTGCAGTACCGGAGGCTGCAGTTTCAGGACTGCATCCTAGGACCGGAACTGCATTTCCAGTTGTTTACTTTGATACTGCCAGCTAGCTAGCTAGCTATGTTACTCTTTACAGCCACACAAAGGCGGCTTTCTCTCCTCTCTCTCTCTCTACTCCTCTTCTCTCTCTCTACTCCTCTCTTTCTCCTCTCTCTCTCCTCTCTCTCTACTCCTCTCTTTCTCTCTCTCTCTCCCTCTCTCTATACCTCTTCGCTCCTCCTCTCTCTCCTCTCTTCTCTCTCTCCTTCTCTCTCTCTTTCTCCTCTCTCTCTCTCTCTCTCCTTCTCTCTCTCCTTCTCTCTCCTCCTCTCTCTCTCTACCCCTCTCTCTCCTCTCTCTCTCTACCCCTCTCTCATAAATTCATAAAGATGCTGTTTGTTCTGTTTTGTAGTTTATTCCACAAAACTCTATATTTGTTAGCTATAAGATGTTCAATAAAAGGCTTCAAGTAGACCCAAGATCAGCCCAGATAATCCTGATCGGAGCACCTCTACAGTTGTCTTGACATGAATTAATAATTAGTTAATTGGTTTAAATGTAATGTATTACAGATTACAGAATCAGATTTAATTACATGAATGTTTAATGTGAAAGAATGTAATCTGTAATAAATGTGTTAAACAAATATTTTAAAATATACTTTTTGAGTATTTGTACTACGTTGCACCAAGTATAGCACATAAAAATAAAACATCTAATCAACAGTGCACCTTTGATGA